TCTTGTACACGAGGGACCTTGAATAAATAAATGTTGAATTACCTGGCAATGGCTGTCCGTTTCTGGTCATTTTCTCTGAGAACAAGAATCCCATAGTAAGCTGCGTTGCTTAGCTGTTGAACCATATCTTCACTAAGGTACCTGTCAAGTTTCAGAGCGATCCCTTTGTTGCCTCTCTAAACACACTCCAAAGATTGACCAAACCCATGCGTTTTTATGCAAGGGCAGAAATTGCCGAAAAGACCATCCCTCACATTTCTGATCACAGAACATGCAACTGCATGCATCAATTGTTTCGAGAGTTGTGTGGTAATTAGGTAACACACCTGGCTACACATGGAGTGACACCTCAGCTTTGGATTTAAAGTAGTTAGAGAGAAATTAAATATTTTGTAGAAAATTTACTTAATATTCCATATTAAGTGGTAACCCTGTATACACAAAAAAAAACTGGCGATAGAAAATTGATATATTTTACGAAATGGTTCCATTGCGTTTGTTTTCCATATATACCGTACATGAAGTACTAGTATATGTAAAATTGATTAGGACACGATATATAGATATTAAAGTCTAGTTCGTCTGACCTCTTCTCCTGGATTGTGACCAATGGCTTCTTCTATGTAACTATTCTCGGCTTGGCTTATTCTAGGATGGCTAGCGGGGGAGTCAAACACGATTAGGTACCATCCGCACAGCCAGATGAAACAGAGGCCACCTGGAGGATAAACGCCTTTGATAAATCTTAAACAACCTCCTGGAGTTTTTTGCCATTATCATCTTAATCGCCTGTAATTGTGTCTGCAGCCTTACGGCATTTTATTAACAGACAGTAATATAAAAATGTCCTCTGCACAAAGTGCATTTCACGCCAAACGAACACTCAACAAATATATATTTCTATTCATTTCCAGCCCAGCCCGAAGGAAGAATAACCACAAAACTTGCAGTTTAAAGGCATTCTCAAGTTTTGAACCCAACAGAAATATGTTCGATAGACACTCAGAGTTGTCAAAGATGCAGCAAAAATGTTGTAGCACACATTTCGCATATGAGAGAATGTACGCACGTGCAGCAACTCCTACCGGTTAATAAGAAATTATAGTATGTGAATCATTGAATGGTTTCCTAAATCCCTTCTATATGTTTTATTCTACTCAAACAAAACTTCCTCTTGGTCTTATATGATGAAAAGTAGTAGAAAAAAAGATAATGTGAAAATAATCGGCGTACATTGGGTATAAAAGAGGTTAAAAACTACAAAAAACACGGATTCCCTGTATTAAGATTTTTTCAAAAAGTATAAATTTACCGTAAACGTAGAAAATAATTGGCCATCCGTTGTCAAATTGAATTTCACAGAGTAATCCAGAAAATAAGAAAGAGACGATGATCCCAACACACGGACCTGGAATAAACATATCGTTTCTATTGGTAAAAAAGTCCCGATTGTACTTGCATACTAGTAAATGTGCAGAGACAATTAAGGGTGAATTAAGCACAATATATATATATATATATATATATATATATATATATATATATATATATATATTGCAAGTGAATGCGACTTCATAAAAAGAGCAATGAAGCAAAAATTGTATTTCTGTTTCATACCAATTGCAACATGTTTCTCCAGTTTGGTAATATAAACGACCCTTTTCCCAAAATAAGCATTTGATTGGAACATTGGAAACAAACAAATACTGATCTTAATACAGCTTTATCTAACTAAAAGTACCGAATTGTGTTCAAACAAGCTATATACACTAAGTTTATAACTATTGGACAGTTTGTCTCACTTTGTTTGATAATGCAGATCAAGACGATTTTGTTTAAACTCTTGCATAAAATATTTCGTTTTCAATATAAGTATAACACTTCTTGACTTCCATAATCCAAGGATTTATATTGCTTTCTGTCATGTTAGATAGCAATAAAAAGGAATCATGCTTTCTTATACCTGTATTATCCTGGTTTAAGGCATTTAAGCAATATTACTGTCAAAGTCAAAACCAAATTATAATTTTGCACAACAGGTAACACGAATGTTAGGAATACGTGACTAGCTTAAGGCTTTATGCAGCCTATTAAGGAGCCCCTGTTTACCAAGGTATGCCATGAAAGGAATATTATACTTGCAAGAATTTAAAAAGAACATGACTCAATTTATAAACAAAAACATACATTTAGGCAGTGCACTTTACATTTCACTTACAAACGTTCCTGAAGACATTTCAGCGCCGAGCTTCATGTATAAGTCATTGCCATCAGAAGAACCATTATCACCATTTATCGTACTACTTAAGGACTTGTTGGACTGGTTTAGATGTGGCCAAAATTCCGAACTCTTTTGCTTCACCATGCAAACTATGGCGACACTGATGTTTGTACGCAAGGTCAAAACGTTCATCGTGCCAATAAAACCCATCAGGGACAGAAAAACTCGACATGACGTCCATTATGGGACTGAATGTGAAGAAATACCGATGACATATACATGTTCATAGCAATGTATTGCACATTAAAGATAGATGCTTCGAGAAAAAACTGATAAAATATCCTCTTCCAACAGTTCGCCGAATGCTTTAGGCCCGGACCTTGGAGTGAAATTGCCTGAAGATTCAACGATGGTTTGAGGCCATAAAAGAAATAATTGGCTACACCATATAAATAATCAGTTACTGTGCTCATCTACATTTTTTCACCCATTGCCATGGTTTCTATTCCGATGTTCATGTCACGTATACTGTGATTGTTAATTGTCCTTTAAAGTTAAAACTCTGTTCTAGAGTTACCTTCAACTGATGTGAAACAAAAGTAAACTCAACAGTGTCATACTCTTTTGAAAGTTTAATCCTTAACTTTGTATCGGATCATGCACTGCGGTAAACTAACATTTTCCCATTGCACATATTCCTGACGTCTTTTATAATGGTATTTAAATACAATTGCTTAAGGATTAATTACCTTAATGCAAATATAATTGAAAGCGAGCCTACTGGGGGTATGTGACTAGAATTTACACCATATTGCAGTACAGAATAACACTAGAGTTATTTGCTTCATCCTCACTGACTTTGATGTACCCTGGTGCAGAAACAGCAGAAAGAGTTTGTACGGCGGTTTACACGACATTTACAGTAGCATTTACCCTACAGATTCGAAAGCACGGGTTTCAGGATGTTTGACTAAGTATACTGAAAATAAAAAGTAACCGCACAGGTACATGTAAAATGTCAAAGACAATGCAGAATACGACATTTAGTCTCTTACTGGCTGACACAAGCAAGAGAGGTTTTCAAAGAAAAGGAAACAATTCTTGCGAAACTTTATCTGCCTCTAAATATCATTTCTTTTTCAGCTAAAGCAGCTATATATTTATTGTAGCTTAACGTGTCAACTATGACGTAATTTATCAGGAAGGTCAGGCAAAAAAAACTAGTAAGGGGGCGCTTTATTCAAATGGTGAATAGATCAAGTGAGAGAGAGAGAAATGGTTGCCCCATACTTCTAATTTGTTTGTATACATTCTAAAATAATTCAGTTCAAAATATGTCAAAGGGAATAAATGGTACCGGAGAAGACCAGAATTGTGCCGGAAGTGTGATGTCAAGTGACGTCAAGTGGTCTAAGACGCAAAGCTGTGTGGTCATTTTAGCTGGAGGTAAACGGGAGTAAAGGCGTGGACTCGGAGGAAAAAGCAGTTATTCTAACAACACGGTAAGATAACATTTTATTTTTATGCATTTGGGACAGAGAATACTTGTAGAAATAATAGGAGCATGATATGAAAATATGTCACGGAAATTAAGGGTGAAAAATCGTGCTTAATTTGCTTTCAATTTGTTTTGAAATATATGCTGCATCGACCGCCAGCGCGACAAAGAGCGTCAAGGGAAAATAATTCCCGGGAGGCTATTAATCGCTGTCTTGTGGAATTTTTGCATGTATGCAACTTGTTATGCCCATATCTTAGTATTTTTGGGTGTTTTATGGTATGTGCTGCAATTATAACGATGTTTTAGATTCTTTGAAGGACCTTGTGAAAACCAGGAAGTAGTTCGCAGTTAAAATATGGCGGACCATACATGAAAAAAAGAGCCGAATAATCCGCTGATGGTCTACCCGCCTCCACACGCGCCATTAAACAGATTAAATCATGGATCTGAGGTTTAATTGCTAGATCCCCCCAAGGTCTGCGCATGTGGAGGCGGGGGGACCATCAGCGGATTAATCGGCTCTTCTTTCATATTTGATCCACGGATCAGTATATCCGAGGATCATCTTATGTGAATGCCCTCTTACGCCCCATACTGGTTGCTGTCTCACCTCAAAAATAGAAGTGTTAAATTGACGAGTAACGCTTTGAGGTGCCTATGCTTATGCTTAGCAACGAGAAATATATATGCCGACATTTTGTTTTCCAAGTAATTTTTATTGTTTTTTAAAATCACAACCAGGTAGATATATTTTTTAATAATAGATGCAGGAAAAAACGCATTTCCCGTATCTGGATTATCATAAACCCTTACAATACCCTTAAAGCATTTCAGAAATACATGTAATCCGTTATTATATGGTTTCAAAACAGGAAGATACATACATGTACTTAACAGTTGACTTGGAGTGAAATGTGTATTGTTGGAAAGCTATTCAAAAAGTTCTACTGCGTTTTTTGACTTGTGTTTAACAATATAGTTCATATTATGGCACTGAAAGCATGAACTAAGCAGTGTGTCCACTTTTGATAGAACGTTTCACCTATCCAATATATAACCCTGAATCGGTCTATTGCCACTTTTAAGTGGTTGGTCAGGAAAAATAAATTCATTTCTAATTTAATAATAACATGTTTATAGCATTTCCTGCCTTATTTCACAAAGCAACGGGTTAACTTTGCAGTAAATGGCACAATGTTGTATAGCCAGGTATGCGGAGCAGACGATCCACATTGTCATACTTCCGGGGAACAACATAGTAAGATACTGTACACGTTGTCACAAGGTAGAATGAACATCAGGGTGGGCATTGTCATAGCCCTGGTTTACGTCGGTGTTTTCTCGTTTATCTTCATTATGGAGATGATCTGGCTTGCCCCAGGGCTGCACTTCTCCGCTAGCAAATATCAAGAAAAAGAGCGCGCCGAAACTGTAGATGGCACATGTTATAAAGAAAACCCACTTCCACTCTTCTCTTGTGCCCTATACAGAAGAAAAATGCTCGTATGAAATAAAAAGACAAATACCTTCAGGATTTAGTAATCAGCACAAGATACACTTGTTTTTCGGACAATTTGTAGCTTGTCGTTTTAGGACTTCTTTCTCACCTAGGAACCAAAAATAACAAGAGGTACGTACATGGTTTGAAATATACTAAACAAATATTTCTTTAAATAAAACATATTTAAGTATAAGTATAAGTAGAAAGACAAATCCTATCGGGATTAAGTAATCAGTACACAGTACAATTGTTTTTCAGACAATTTGAAGCTTGTCGTTTCAGGATTTCTTTCTCACCTAGGAATTAAAAATAAAAAGAGGTACGTATATGATTTGAAATATATATGCCTACTCAGTACTAAACAAATATGTCTTTAAATAAAACATATATCTATGAGCAGGAAACAAAACAAAATAAATGTATATACCAAAGAGAACTTAAGTCTCAAAGACGTTATTTCAATCGACATCACTATATACAAAAGTGAAAAAAGAAAAAAAAGCCCCCGTTATATCCCTTTCCCAAAAATAGCAATCTCTCTAGTAGTACTTACGTTTGGAGTTAGCGCAGCAACTATGTTAGGGGAAATAATGCCAGAAAAACTAGCCAGAGTGTTTGAGATTCCGAATATTTCACCGGCAAACCTTGAAATGAACATAACTTTTGAAAAGTACGTGACATTTAAAATTTTTAATTCAAAATGATTATCAGAAAACAAACGTGATCAGTCAAGGAGAAAGAAGTAACGATCAAACTTTTAATCGAAAATAAAGAAATATCATTTCGCAAAGTTGTGTTCATGCGGACCTGATCACCTAGTACCGGTATAGGCCTAATAGATATGGTTATGCTTAACTTACTGCAAGTACGTATACTTAATTCGGATTGCCAGTTTTACTTCAATTCGTTCAAGAAAATAATAAAACCTGGTTAGGGTTTGGAAACACAAGAGCTGAAATGAATACTCAAATATCAGTCAACTTATGTATCGCGTTTCCCATTCGAGCCTTGAAGCTGATCTCACATTGCTCGCGATGAGGGAGCTACATGTATAAGTAAACTTGCGGCCAAATAGGCAACCTACATGTACTTTCTAAACTTAAATTTGAAGAAATATGAAAACAGCAACTTATTGTTGATTACTTGGAACTCACTGATGTGTACCTTACCGAGGTGCAATATCTGCTACGTTAATCGCCAATGTGGAAACGCTCGCAGATGAGAAGGTAACTCCTAATATCAAGTATACCACACCCAACATTCTGGTCTCACAATCTACGAAGGCTGTGGCAAACATAAAGGCAGCAGGCACAAATCCGCCTACAAATGACACCACTATGTAACGTGAATCGAATGTGTTATGTCGTTTAGCAACTACTTTACAAAGTCCATGTTTTAAGAAATAAGAAAAAGCATTTTGAGATTAAATTTATAAAATTAATTTTGAAAATATTCCAAAATGTATATAAGTTGTTTCAAACAGTTTGCCATTATACTTTTGGGCATTTGTCATGTTATTTTATCAATAAGCCATAGTACAATTTCTATCACATGATTGCGATCACATAGGACGTTTGGAATGCCTTTTTTAAGTTCACGTCTCAGTTTAATTCTAACCGATTGACTGGAAAAGCTTTCTGGTCCTCGTTGTGTTCAGTAGGCCTCGCTGCCTAAAATGATCTGCGGCCTTCCCACAGGCACCAGTGCCCAAGCACAATGCAACATAGGGTATCGCAGAGAACAATCCATTCTGAAACACGATCACAAGAAGCCAAAGACAAATAAGGTCATTCAACTCAATCTGATTTGAGGTGGGGCATTGAGTGACGACGCCCGTACCAAGACAGTTTTTGACTCTTGAACTAATGACACCAAAGTCAGACTTGAGAGTAAATAAGGTTCAAATTCTAATGCCACCAGTTGAAACTTTATTTAATAAGTGTACAATGAAGACATATATGGTGGCACTAACTGTTTTAAAATTGTTTACCTGTTTTATATCAAATTGCAGAACTTCCTTCATGAAAATTGGAAGACTCGTTACCAGAGTATAACAGCCCCAGTCGCTAGTGAAATTCATTATGAAAATTGCCCAAACGGCGGGGGACTTCACGAATGATGCCCACGGGACAGGGACTTTCTAAAAAGAGCACATGGACCCCTTTTTGGTGTTTATAATATATTTCATAATTTGTAATATAAGCGCAAAAAGGTAATCTAATTGGCTTTTATTTATGAAAAAGTTCTACACAAAATCAACTGCGAGAAGAAACTTCTTAACATCTTGAACAAAAGGGAACTTACATTCATACATACATTAAATATATATGTGGGATGACTACAGTAGAGATAAAGAGAAAAGCGAAGGGCGAGGGGGTGGAAGCGGCTTGTGTGTGTGTGTGGGGGGGGAGGGCTACAGCAGTTCGATATCGAACTTTTCGTAACTGAATGAAAAAGGTACTTTTGTTGACACTAGACTCATGAAACTGCAGGTTCTGTACGCTTTGAATAGAGATGAACAGTTGGGTCTTAGTGTCATCTTGTCTTCAAATTTAGCAAGGGCCCGCTATCGGATATCGCGAAGTCGCTTTGTTTATTTAAAATTGTTTTGGTTCCATTTGCATTCATTTAACGTATAGTAAGTGATACTCCGCCAGAACTGAAATGTTCGCTGACCTCTTCACTCTGATCAAGATGGCCGATGGCTGTCTCTATGTACTCCCTCTCGGCCTGGCTTATACGCGGGTGACTGGCGGGCGAATCAAACACGAGCAAGTACCACCCGCATAGCCAGATGAAACAGAGGCCACCTTGTGATTAAAAAAAATAAAATAGTCAACATCATCATTTGATATGACTTGGAAAAAATTAAAGATATACGTGTGTGTGCGTGTGCGTGTGTGTGTCACCATGAAAGGTAGACCTATTACGCGGATGGGACTATGACTAGAAAATAACTTACCGTAAACGTAAAATATAAACGGCCAGCCATTGTCTAAGTCAATCCCACACAATACGCCAGAGAGTGACATAGCCACAACAATACCAGCGTAACCACCTAAATAAAAATGAACATATGCATTATTTTTTTTATTTCAGTTAATGTAAATGATGTAATTATGAACTTCGTGATATGATGAGGAAAACAAAACAAAACAAAACAAAACAAAAAACATTAAAATGCATCAAACTTTAAACATTAATGTTTGCAAAATCTGTCAACTAAGACTTATACCCCCTTGACACTGGACGGCGTCCTTTCTGCGTCCTTTCTTCGACCATGAAATTTGGCATAGCTGTGGTCTTAATAAGGAGGCACGAGCATTGATTTTGTATCAGAATGAATGCTCAATGATCGGCCAGTTGTCGGCACGTAAAGTATTATAATTTTTTAACTCTCAAATGGGGCCGTACTGCTGGACGCAGAAAGGACGCCATCCAGTGTAAAGGGGGCTTTAACATAACTTGGCTTTACGTCAAGGTATTGCCTCTTGTGAGTATTTTTGTAAGCAGTGATACTCATAACCATAATGTTCAAAAGGTAGCCCACTAATCTGTGATTTTAAGATATTACCAGGTTTATTTTTAATTTTGACAATATAAGTTTTACTTACAATACAATGTTTATTTATCTAATTATTTCACAATATATATGTTATATCTTGAATGCATCCACAGAAATACACAGGAATACAGCATTGGTCAAAAAGGTTGTCCCACCCCCATTTCCATGTACTTTTATTTACAAATGATCACCTAACAGCTGTTAATTGTTAGAAATAGTTTTTTTTTATTACGTATACCGTGTCTAACATGATTAATGGTTTAAAAAATACAAAATAGTGGTGAAAATATACATATTTTATACCATTTAGTAAAATTTATAAGAGGTACCCCCTCAAATCGACTGTTTCACTGTGACTTCTAAAGATGTAATGAAATGACTATAACATTAAAAAGACGCCATCAAATGTCACCAAATTCACACACAATTAGCATTAGGGTGTGCTCATTAAAGATCACGTGCCTAACAGCGTGTGCGTCTACCGCGTACTGCAATTATTTCCTGTAGACGGCGCGACTAGCCTTCAACACGGGTTACAATTCTGTTTTGTGGGATATTGTCCCATTCTTCTTAAACAAGTTGGGGGAGTTGGTCCACGTTTTTATGGGGTTGGTTCTCCTTTGCATTGCACACTCCAATACATGTCACAGTTGATTAGTAAGTTTGATATCAGGGCTCAAAGATGGTGGTTCCATCCTTAGACCATTATGTTTCTTCAACAAACAGTTGCCAGGCGAGAGGTGTGAGCAAGTGTGCAGTCATGATAAAGCCTGAAGTTAACCCCAAAGTCAGTTCTTGAAGATGGAATGAGATATCAGCTGAGAATGCTACGTTCAGTGATCCCACAGGCACCTGAACCTGGCCATCCATCACTGGAAGGAAGTTGATTTTGATGCAGAATCAAATTATTTCTTGTATCCCATCGATGGTCAAAGAGGGTCCATAGACATGTTAAAAAATGCCTCTTGGAAGGGTGCGTGCAGGATAATATCGCCTGAGGTGTTAGATCAATCCGCATTTGGAGAACATTCCAAGCCCATGGTATTAGTACATTGTTCCTTTTGGAACAAAACGTAACAGGGGCATTTTGATGTAACATTCTCAACAGAAATCTCACTCCATTTGCAAGAGGTGACTTCAGGGATACTACTGGCTTCATTGTGACGACGCACTTGCTCACAGCTCTCGTCTGGCAAACGATTTGTTGCAGAAACACAGGGCTCTGAGGATGGGACAACCGTCTTTGAGTCCTGATATTAATCCTACTGAGCACCTGTGGCATAAATTGGAATGTGCATTGCAGAGGAGAACCAATTCCTAAATAATCTTGACCAATTCCGCCACGCTCTTTAGGATGAATGGGACAATATCCCACATAACAGAATTGTTACCCATGTTGAAGGCTTGTCGCGCCGTCTACAGGTGATAATTGCAGTACGCGGTAGACGCACACGCTGTTAGGCACGTGATCTTTAACGAGCACACCCTAATGCTAATTGTGTGTGAATTTGGTGACATTTGATGGCCCCTTTTCAATTTTATAGACATTTCTTTACATCTTTAGAAGTCACAGTGAAACAGTCGATTTGAGGGGGTACCTCTTGTAAATTTTACTAAATGGTATAAAATATGTATATTTTCACCACTATTTTGTATTTTTTAAACCATTAATCATGTTAGACACGGTATCCGTGATAAAAAGCACTATTTCTAACAGTTCACAGCTTTGAGGTGATCATTTGTAAATAAAAGTACATGGAAATGGGGGTTGGACAACCTTTTTGACCAATGCTGTATATCATGTATCATCAAACACTTTGTGTAATACAACCCTGGTTTTTATGGATCGTTCATGAAGTATAAAGATAATTTTTTTATTTCATCAATACTAAAAATATTTTAATTATGGAAGTTTATATTTAATTTGATTTCACCCAACTGATATAAGCACAAAAGTACCAAGGCACAGAAATAAGAATAAGCGTTCTTTTTTACTTACCAGAGAAGCAGAAGGAAACCAACGTGCTCTTTTCTAATGGCGGCGCCCATTTTCTCCACATCGCCTGCAATGCAGGAAGACAGACGCCCTGCAACAGATAACAGCCAGTGATTTATATGATTTCCGGTAATTAAATCTAATCCCGAAGTACTTTGAATAAATTACGTACGGATGGTTTCTGCTTTGACTATTAAAATTGATACAGCGCAAAATATATATTTTGCATGAAGTCATTGGTATTTGTGCTGAGTCACGTAAATGGGATATGCTGCCGCTTGCATTTAATTTGAACAATCCTTAGTAACAGTAGGTTTCTTAAGTATTGTTTCTCTTACATTTTACTTATTTTGGGCTATTTATGTATTATTTTATGTTTTTGATTCTATTCTTTTGTACAACATATTAATTGTCTCGTTTAAGATAAAAATGCGTTCCTTATATCATTATGTTCTTCTAATTATAAGTGACATCTGTGCCAAATAGATAGGCCTACTTTTAACATTTTACAATTTACAGCAGTTTTGAACAATGTGTCACTTTGCATGTATGTTTTTATTAAATAATAATCATAATAATACATACTGTATATATGGTGATTAAAGAAATTCTCGTGTTTTAGATTTTCTGTTTACTTACAGCTGTCATCCCTGTGAGAACACGTAGCGCTATCAAAATAGAATAATGTGTTCTGGCTGCAATCGGTGTCACAACCGACGTCACACCCGCAATAACCATCGCTGTGCCAAACACGTGTTTCCCGCCATATCTTCCCGCCAGCCAACCACCAATTATTTGGGTACATGCATACCCGTAGAAGACAGAGCTCAGTATGACGCCCCTTATGTTTGTGTCCCAGTCAAATTCACCTTTCTGCAATACACATGTTATTTACTTACGTCTTAAATGTTGACTAAAGGCCAGTACATTCAGCAATCCCCAAGTTACATGTATATATTTATCTGAATTTAGCTTAAAACCTCGCTAAAATATGTTGTCAACATCAGATCTTTGCGAGCTATAGCAGCACATTAATAACTGCTCATTTTCCACAATTCATCCAAAAATACCATCGACGATAAGCCACCAAGCCAGAGACCTTTTGCTGACGCACAAAGCACATGAAAGAACTAACCCGTCCAATATGCATTATATACATACATGTAACTGTATAGGTCGCAAATCAGATTACAATCCGTCTTTAATATGCTTTATTGTTTTGGGATGAGGATAGAGGCATCCGTTCTTTTGTATTCACCGATGGTCATTTTAGGACGGATTATAAACTACGACATTGTAGCGTTCTCCTAAATTGGCAGTGGTCAATTGACCTTAAATTTTCACGTTTATGAATACTTTATTTCTTAATACAGCTGTGGCATCATTTGATACAACAAATAATGCTATAAGTGCACGAGTTTAATCATAGAAAATCTTCTTTCAAAAGCAAAATAACAAAATTTTATTAAATGTTTTACTATGCTTTGATTATTCATTAAATTATTCCTTTTTTATTCACTGGGATAGTTGTGACCTTAAATTATACTTACGTACGTTCTTGCGCTAACAACGTCCAGCTTTCCACATGTTGGTGCAATTATTCTACTGCCGTTATAAGTAGCGTTTTCAACAAATGTTGTGCCACTTAACGTGCTGCTTGTATCATTAAGGGTCAGTCGGTATTCCGTTGCGTTTTTCTGTCGCACCATGCAGATAATACCAAAGTTAATGTTTGTACGGAGGATGAAAGCATTTACAACGCCAAGGAAAACCATCAAAGCCAGGAGAAGTCGGCATGACGTCCAGTACGGAACTAAAAATGAAGTTATACTTTGAATGATCTACTATGTCATTCTTGAACAGCTAGGTGCTATCTCATAGAAATGTCGATAATACAGCTAGGATGGGCGGACGCCAATCAAATATGCAGTTATTACCACGCTGACCTGGTCGCCATAGAAACGAAAGCAGAGCACGTGTATCTCAAGACTAGGATCCGGGAAATGCAGGGTGAGTGTGTCCAACATCGAGATGTCCGCTCTAAGCTCCATCTTGTTGTTGCAAGAACACTACGTTGCTTTGTGGGGTCAATTCAGACGAGCTCTATTTTGGAACGAGCATCAGGTTAACTTGCGTCAGTAATGTTTGGATAAAATGATAATGGTATGACATATTTTTATTTCTTTGTGAAATATATTGATTATATATTGATTATTGATTTTTCTGAATATGTCTCTCTTGTTCTCTCTCTCTCTCTCTCTCTCTCTCTCTCTCTCTCTCTCTCTCTCTCTCACACACACACACACACACACGCGCATACACATACACACACACGCGCATACACATACACACACGCACGCACACACACAAACACGTCCTTGACTATGCAATTTTAACATGTAACCGCAATGTTATATTTTACATTTGCTTTACCTAGAAAATCTGGATTTGTCCGGCGCTTGCTGTGGGGATTATTGGAGGTCAAGCAGCATGAAGGGTCGAAAATGGTGGACCAGTAGAAAAAAGTGAACGGCGAGTGGGTGTGGACCGCCACCGGTGCCACATTAAACAGCGCGTACTGGGGCTTTGCCGATGGTGAGCCAAATCAAGTAGGAGATGCTGCGTCTTGTCTTGGATTATACGTACCGGATTACGATTTTAATGACGTCATGTGTGACGTCAGTTCGTATTGCGAGCACTACGGATTCATATGCGAGAAACACGTGACTTCCTTGTAAACTTGTGACATTTAGACATCCATGATAAAAAAACAGTTTCTCAAGAATTATAGAAAAAGTGGTACACAAGTATGTGGTTTGACGGTGTAAAGAAATTTATAAAACAAACCTACATCTACTCCAGAATGAGAGGCTTAAAAACCATTTTGCATATCATTTGTCAACGTGTAGTCAACATTGCTACAGCTGTAACTACGGGATATCGTCTGTATGCAGCCTTCGGCGCTGTGCTTTGGAAGAACTCGTACGACATTGTGATCAACTTGGGAATTTTGTAGATAATATCTCTTGGCAAAATACACCTAAACTTAAATCCTTATCTAGAAAAGTTAACTTACGATGGAAATTTTATTTTAACGAGTTTCAACGCATTGTATTTGTGTGAATATTGCTGTGTAATTTTAACAAAATGTCATCTTGGTGTGAAATTTGTGACCTAATGAATTATTCTGTGAGGCGTGGTAATTAAAATCTTTTATAAAAAAGTAACCAGTCGCATATGGAGAAGAGAACGTACAAATAAATTTTCCGTTTCAATAAAAGTATAACAATTCTTGACTTCCACAATCCAAGGATTTATATTACTATCTGCCATGTTAGATAGCCATTAAAAGGAAACTTGCTTTTTTATACCTGTAGTACTCTGGTTTAAGACATTTAAGCAATATTTGTTACTGTCAAAGTCAAACCAAATTATAATTTTGCACAACAGGTTACACGAATGTTAGGAATACGTAACTATAGCTTAAGGCTTTATGCAGGAGCCTCTGTTTAAGAAGGTATGTCATGAAAGGGATACTATACTTGCAAGTATTAAAAAAGAACACGCGAACATGACTTAATTTATAAACAAAAACACATATTTGCTTCTTCTGCTTCACCTTGCAAACTATGGCGACACTGATGTTTGCACGCAAGGTCAAAACGTTCATCGTGCCAATAAAACCCATCAGGGACAGAAAAACTCGACACGACGTCCAGTATGCAACTGAATGCGAAGAAATACCGACGACATATACATGTACATGTTCATAGCAATGTATTAAACATTACAAAGATAGGAGCTTCAAGAAACGAAACATACTAGTCAATTATCCTCTTCCAACAGTTCGCCGAATGTTCTAGGCCCGGACCTTGGAGGGACAAAGTAAATTATTTAAAATGCACCAAATTCACTATTATTGTTCCATTTAATTATTATTGATAAAAAATGTGTGTACATTATATCATTTGTAATTATATAGTTGTCATGTTACATGTATATTGACAATGCATTGATTTGTATTGTAATCTGTAACGTCACATTCTTGTATATTTATATCCATTTTCACCAAGTCATTCTGGTGCATATATGCATATATGCATATATCTTATAAGATAAAAATATAAATATTCCTCATAAAGAACTTCTTGTTGTACCTGCGTTTTTCAAAAGTTAGGGTTTATTCCAAATAACTTACCACCTTAAGTTTATACGCACTGGCCACCACGTAACATTCGATTTTAACCTTGACATTCTTTCTTACTTACCATTTTGATTTTTTAGTTTAGGTTTGGCCACATTCTCTGCAGTTGTCATGTCAGATATCGTAAAGACATTGGTGGTTTCTTCTGCTGGCGTCAGAGTGTTTTGTTCCATTTTTCTGACAAAATTGCCCGAAGATTCAACGATCGTTTGAGGCAATCAAAAAATATTTGGCTTCACCAAATAAATGATCAGTTACTGTATTCACCTACATTTTTCACCCATTGGGTTCTCTTCCGATGTTCATGTCTACGTGTATACTGTGATTGTTAATTGTCCTATAGAGTTTAAAGTCTGATCTAGAGTTAACTTCAACTGATATGAAACAAAAGTAAACTCAACGGAGTGATACTCTTTTGAAACTTTAATCCTGTATCGGATCATGCACTGCGGTAATGTAACGTTTCCTATTGCACATATTCCTTACGTCTTTCATAATGGAGATTTAAATAAAAAAGCCTAAGGATTAATTGCCTTAATGCAAATATTATCGAAAGCAAGTCTACTGGGAGTATGTGACTAGAATTTACCCCATGTTGCAGTACAGAATAACACTAGAGTTATTTGCTTCATACTCACTGAATTTGTTCTACCCCTTTACAGAAAGCCTTTGTATAGCAGTTTACATGCCATTTACAGTAGCATTTACCCTGCAGATTTGAAAGCTTGGGTTTCAGGATGCTTGACAAAGTATATAGAAAATAAAAAGTAACCGTACAGGTAAAATGTCAAAGACAATGCAGAATACGACGTTTAGTCTCTCACTGGTACCCTACACTGTAGGTTCTAGATTCCGGTATTGCCAGCTCGATCTTGATTTCATATATAACCCATATCAGCAATACCAGGCCCTAGCGAACACCGTCAAGCTGTGGGCCTTCTTCAAAATTTTGCCTGGGGCGCTTCCATATTTGGAAGTCATAAGTCTCGTACGTCACAGCTTTGCCCGCCTGGAGCTGCCTTTCCCGCCTTGCGCTGATGTTATCTCGTGCAGACGAGACAAGAACAAGGTGGCTGACGCGAAATTGGAATTTTGAACTAAGAATATCTTGCAGTCGAAGGTCAGTACCACAACACAAGCAATATTCTGCTTTAAAAAAAACGTATTTTTGTGTAGCCATTGCGCAGCCCTTATAGTGGTATCGGGCATACAGTATAGCTGTCAAACTTGGCACACGGCAAGCACGTGTATTGTGTTTATATCTTCAGGAGCAAATGTTCTTTGTTAAGCAAAAAAAAAAAAAAAATTGGATATACCTTTTTCTTTTAGAAACATATTATTTATTTTTCACTTTACATATCTTAAATTCAGTAAATAAAATTAAATAAGGCAAAATTAAATCTGTTTTACGTTTCTTTTTGGTCTGATGACATTCAACTGCAGATTCACTGCGGATCAGTTCTTTTTGATTGACAGAAATCTAACATGGCNCCCAACCCCCCCCCCCCCCCCAAGATCTGCACGTGTGGAGGCGGGGACACCATCAGCGGATTAGTCGGCACTTTTTCATGTAGGGTCCGCCATATTTGATCCACGGCTGAGTATATCCGAGGATCATCTTATGTGAATGCCCTCTTATGCGCCATACTGGTTGCTATCTCACCTCAAAATAGAAGTGTTAAATTGGCGAGTAACGTTTTGAGGTGCCAATGGTTATGCTTAGCAACGAAAATTTATATGCCGACATTTTGTTTTCTAGGGAATTTTTATTGTTTTTTATTACCACAAAGGTAGATACATTTTTGAATAGTTAGATGCAGGAAAAAAACTCATTTCCCCCTATAAATATCGCTGTATTGTAACAAACAGACTACTTTTTGGTGCAGATTTTGCTATTGACAAATCATTGTGTATAACTAAATTATATATATATTTATATACATATATATCAAACTGCACATGTGCAAACTGATTTACAAATAATCAAAACATGAATAAAATTGCAAGTGTATTTCTTTATTGAACTTTTTAACCATGCTGATGCAACATTTTATGAAATTGGACTGTTGATCGAAAAAAAAAAACACACCTATTTATGTCCACTTATGCACTTAATCAAGATCTCTCTGATTAAAAGTATTAAAACTATTGAATGTTCATTTAAAATCCTAATTTCTAAAGAATAACATTCTGAATAAAGACACAGTCAGTGAATGTACCACAGTTCGACACTGTCAGACAATGTCACCGTCGAGGGGCTTCCTTTTCCTCTCTGCTACTTGCCCTGAAACGGTATGGAAGACAGGTGTAATGCTGGGGAAATGCGTTTCATTATATGTCTAAGTCGCATTAGCAGCATGGATGATTGTTTCATCGTAAATTAAAATATTAACTTCAAATATGTAACGGGTCTCTACATTGTTTTAATACAGTCGAACTCATTGCTACCTTCTTGCAGATTTCACAGTTCTGGCCACAGACGTCACAGATCGTGGTGTCGGTCAAAACCTTCGACTGGTAGAAGACGGTGATCTGGTTATCTGCAAATATTAAGTCAATTAATTGGACACGCCTTGTAAGAAATCATAATCTATGACATAATTATTTTATCGCACAAGTCCAGAATAATATAATTATGTATACACATGATTTTCCTGCACAGTAGAAAATCTAGTAAAACGTATTTCAATTATCATATCAATAAGGAATGAAAGTGAAATTGTTTATAGGAAAATATGAAATCGTACATAAATATCCTCAACGTTTATTAAAAAAGAATATCCAAAATATTATTTCAAGGGGATATCTAACAATTGGATTACATCATAAGTTGGTGTTAATAATTATCTGGTACAATGAGCCAATTAAATGTAGAATGAAAGTGAAATTGTTTATAGAAAAAAAAATGTGTCGGCCAATCGGAAAATATAGCTGACAATCAAAACAGTTTTAGGTAAGATTTTTGTAAGCAGGAAATATTGGAATACCTGGGGAATAGTAATCGTAAACCCTGACAGCTACGGGCTGGGCTTTGGCCACCTGAGCAACACGCTGTGCATTGAAGGTGATGCAAGTTGACTGGGCGCTAATCTGGAAACAAAACTCAAAATGTGAAAGTTAAAGAAACTCATTGAAAAAGTCAAGTTTACATACTGTTATATTTTATCTGCACCCAAACAGACTTTGATTTGTCTGTCATTCTGGGTATGAATATCGGTGAATTTCAGATATTTAGAGCCAGAAAACGCATTTATAGATCGTTATTTTTCTCAAAGGTTTTGCATAGGTTATGTTACATTCTAAAGGGGAAATTGCTGAAACTCTTCAGGAAATTATTTTGCAATATACGGTTCTATTGCACAATTACACTAATTGAAAACTGCGTTTTATTGGTATCGAACCTCGTCAAGATAAACCACTATCTTCCTGAAGGCATTCTCCGTCTTCTTCAGTGTAGAAAGCTGTGAAATGCTCTCCAGATCAGCCTCAAATCCACTAGGTATTCCAATCTCTTTCACCGCCATGCCACTTGCTGGACTGTTCTCCAGCCACCTGCGAAAACAGACACTCAGTGTTATTGAGATTTCAACACAATCAGCTGTCAAATATCCTAAGTTCTGTTCCTTAAATTCATCCCTAGCTAAGAATCTCAGAAATCCAGCTATCCAAGTACAACAATTCTTAAACCGATTTTGTGCTGATTCTGGCCTAACAAACGATACTTCAAAATACTACATTTAGTTGGTCTGAGACTCTGAACTTGAATCGTGGCGATTATTATGGTTTTATATGAAAGGTACGTACCTCGAACACACTTTGACCGTAAGGCTATTCTGGCTCTCCTTCAACAGGGAGACTTCCACAGCAAAGGACGGCTCTTGCTCCACCTTATCTATGTTATACGACACGGAAACCTATAGAGAAAAGCGTGAAAGTAAGTCTTTTGTAATTATACTAACGTAGAGTTGATTTTTATAGTACTGCAAGGTTATCAGATATGTTCTTTGTCATTTACACCGATGCCATTGCATATGCACGCCTATTCATTCTACTGCTAGACTAACAATACGATAAATCAATCGATGCCAAAATGATTATTGATTGCATCAAATGAACACGTTGTATTTTCCATTACCTCGTGGACTAAGTTTATCGGTAATTTAGCCTCGAAAATGGATTTGAAATAAAACTAATTCCATTTGCTGCCATTTAAACCAATTTATTTAATGTTGGACTGGTCTGTCTGTCAAATATAATTCCTAACATTTGTTTGAAAAGGAATAGCCAAAAAACATTATTTCAACGGGGCGTCTAATACTTACATAACATCATAGATTGGTGTTAATAATTATCTGGTACAATAAGTTATCTTACCTGGAAAAGAGCCATTCCGCTTCCTGTTGCCGATACGGCCACCTGTTTGGTACTGCTTGGGAGCTATGAAAGAAACAATAATATATAGACTCTCAGCTATGAGAGAGAGAGAGGGGGGGGGAGAGAGAGAAAAAGGGAGGGAGAGAGAGAAATCTAATTACAGAATACGCAGTATTAAAATGCAATTGTACCACTTTTATCTAAAATATCATGCAGTGTAATAAGCAAACTTGAACTTGACTAAATGGAAAGAGTACTCAGTATGTTTACCACCACCAATTGTTAAAGTATTTAAAAATTTTGAATTACCGGTAAGGTTTGTAGGATGATGGCATTCGTCTTGTCAACGCTCAGTGTTCTGGTAGAGCCCTCGCTGGCCACGGTCACTTGCATGTTCTGACCCGAGCCAGTGTAGATCTTAGCAGCAAACATGGACAGCGCCTGCATCGCCATCACCGTGTCCTGTGGGGCAATAATAAATATCAATCGAGTGTAATAAATTAAGTTTTGGGAAACTTGCTAGCATTGACGCGAACCCTCGTGTACAATACGTTGGTGGAAGAATAAGTTACCTGAGTTGAGGCAAACCCTCCGTGCGCATTGCGCTGGGAGATCAGCCATTTCAGCACGGGCAATCCTCCTGCTAGGTCCTTCCTCTCGGCATAGATAAGGAGAGCGTACGCACTCATCTCCACATTGTTAGCTTTGGGCTGTCTCTCGTAGGTGTTCCTATAGCGCCCCGCCGGCTTGGCGACTTCGGGCTGCTTCCAGTATTTGGAGCCACCTTTGAAAAGGAGAGAAATACCATTTATATCATATATATCTATTAGTTATCACCGTATTTAGTATTTTCTACAAAGTTCTAGGTGGGATCAATTTGCACATCACGTTTCGATTGGAAAATGGGAAAGACACCAAGAGTGCAACCGGTTAAATATATTCTTACTTATCGATTGCACCCGGTTGATATTAGATAATTTCACAATTTACAACGGTTGACAAAAACAGCATAACAGAAATGTTGCTTTCTGAAGAGGAGCTGTTTAGTGACCGTGGTTTCTGGGGTAATAATGCAACCATTTTACTCTTCACAAAATAATTTGTTGTCTTTTGCTAACAGACAACTGAAAGGGTTGTTTCACTAATGCAGGTTTATTGACGAGAACGTGCCTTCCAGTGTTGCCAAGGCATCTAGTTTCTTGAAAGCGTCGTCCGCCTTCTTACTGTTGGCCAGCTGCAGGGCATAGGTGACAATGGACAGACCGTAAGGCTCCGACATGGACGTCACTTGGTTCTCAAGGTAGCTTACGGCGCTTGCAGTGGCGGAGGTGATTCCATGAGAATTAGGCTGAAATATCGATATAAAATAAGACCATCTATTTATCATTCTGTTTATTTATTTATTTATTTATTTATTTATTTGACTTACCAACAAGATTATCCATATATATATATATATATATATATATATATATATATATATATATATATAACTGTTTAATGTATAGTCATCTTAGAGAATTTTCTAAAATATAATTCGTACACTTAGATTTAGCTGTTTTCATTCTTTGTTGTATGGGTTTGGTTTTCAATTTATTTGGTAAGTAGAGATTGATGCCGTTTACATACTACAAAATGAACCTGAATAACAATAGGATTAAATATTAAATATTACTAACCAGGTCCTTATTTTCCAGAAGAGCGATCACAACATATGCAGTCAGAGACACGCCTGACGATGAACCACCCTAAAACATAAATGAATCATATAGTTTTATCTGTTGTTCAAAATGTTGTATGCACCTAATACAGTGATCAACATAAAAATAATTCTTCAAAAAAACCCTTTAGAACACCAAATGTAGCCTACTTAGACCCCATTCCCAGAGATTAGATCGATCCAAACTAGATCGACCTAACTCCCTGGGGGATCACGCTAAATAGCTGTCAGCCGAGCGGGCACGAATGTTAATTACCCCCTTACAGCTTGTAGTAGGCGGGACGGACATTTAAGCCGGATTATGTGACAGTAATCTAGTGAGACTCCCCACGGGGATAGATCGATCTAAATGTCTGGGAATACGCCCTTAGACACAAGTCATCGTAAACAATAGCAAATATTTGCTAGAAAACGGAAGTGAATCTGGCATACATTAGAGAATCATTTAAGAACGTAGATATCAGACTGTACGGTTTAAATATCTTTTTAACTGTGCCAGGTTACACAGTTAAAGTTACAATTAGAATGCATTTGCTTACAAAGCTGGATCCTGTTTGCCAGTTTATCTCGACATTTCCTTCCATTGAAATTCAAAATACTATAGCAAACATGAGGTATGGATATACCTTATTTTTAGTGATTATAACGAGAAATGCACATTCACCAATTTGGCATCTATCTGATTAACTTTAAATTATCTCAATTTGTTTACCTGCATTGCCTTATGGAGTACACGGCCAGGTTCTGGGAAGGACCCATCTATATTCTGCTTTCTAATCATCCAGTTGATAGCTTTGGTAAGAAGCTCGTCATCGATAAAGATGAGGCCACGTGCTTGGTGGAAAGATTTTACAACAAATGCGGTCAGCCTGAAATATTGTCAACCGAGTTTTACCAATAATGTCTACCTGTACATTAATAGATGTTTAGTCAAGTGATAAAAATATGGAAAACCTAACATGAAGGGACACGTGTTCTTAACTGACTGTTAGTTTCAATACCGTTTAAATAAAACACTAACGTCGAGAACCAGCCACCTCAGTTTTAGAAAACACGTCTTATATAATATGAAGCCTTCACTGGTTACGGCTCTCCAGAACCAGGAAATCACTTGGGGTATATACACGAATCACAGTGAACACATAAACACACGAAGGATTATGTACTTATGCAGGCACACTCAAACACGCACACATACGTGCGCTTGTACAGGTACAGTAACACACACGCGCACCCACATAATTCAGCTTACCACATGCTGCCAGAAGAATCACTGTTCCCAAACGCACTAAAAGAACCATCATAGTGTTGGTAAGTAAGTTCCTTCTGGTAGCCTGAAGAAGAACATTGCATTACTCACAACAAAAAGTTATCTTTATGATCCACAACATAATATCTATGCATAGAAGAAAAAGTGTAAATTTATGGATTATAGAATAATTTACAAGAGTCACCATAGATAAACAACAATTCTGTGATAGAATGTCATTTTAGAGACCTACGGTGATTTAAATATTTAAAACATTCAAGTGGATAGAACTTATTATTGATTGCTCTTAGTAAAGGAGGGGTTAAGACATAAATTGTGGTTTCATGCAATAATGCATGATTCAACAAAATATAATATTCTTTACCGAGACTGACAGGCACATACCTTTCTCCATGTATGAAATGGCTTTGCTCTCTATCTCACCGACAAACTGGTTTGTTTCAGTAAGATATTTTGAAATGAAAACATCGGGAGCAAAGTGGAGCATATTCTGTTCACCGCAGCCGTATGGTATCTTCAACAAGCTGTCGATGTCCGCCATGGCTGGTCCCATTAAATCACCTGCAAATGAATAATATATTTTTCATTTATAGTCTCCAAATACTTGACATTTACCTGTATCGGTTTATTGTACGTGTACTATACCTGGATGCACTTTGTCATAGGGTTTTGTATTAATCGCCATTTTAACAGTTTTGGGCAGGGAGATAAAGATTCACTTGTTGGATAATTTATTTTACCATCCTGAAGTCTAGCACGCCATGTTCGTCTTTTATGACAGTTTTCGTCTTTTCTTACCTATGACAGATGCCTGTATCTGAGTAGTCCCTTGCACGAGGTTGGATGGAAGCTCAATTTGGAACGTCTTGCTAAACGTTGACTTGCTGGTTAAATCGATCATCGCAGCCTGGTTGTACTCTTGAGGAACACCCTCGGCCTTGAAAAATGTGTTAGAGAAGAATTAGATGAGAGTTGTGCTTAAAAAAGTGACGTCGACTGATGTCGTGAGAGTTGTCAAAAAGTGCGCTTCTGTTTGGTGCTTTGAAGTGTATGTGTGTTTGCGCAAAAGAGTAAGAGTCGAGACAGGGACAGATCTACAATTTGAAGCAATTTCGTGTTGCCCAGTACATTTTAAACATAAGTGCACACGATTACTTGCACCTATAACCGTTATATAATTGCCTGTATCTTGCCATATTGGAGGAAGACAGGAATAATATTTGCTGTACATGTACAAGACCAACAATACAATTCCATGGTATAGCGGTTTTATACTCATTAGTCACATTATAAGTAGACCAGGCATTATAAGTACCCAAGATCTGCCTACTTTTATTACTCTGAGTTAGGGGGTGACACTTCTTTTGTCCAGTGTGTGTAGGTTATCGTAACCTGGGAGCATATTTTGCCTGGGCATCGTACTTATAAGTTAAAAAACAATAAACATTATGTTCGTGGTAATAAAGAATGGACACTGCCTACAGGCTCAGGTATACCTCAACAAGCAACTGTCTCTGCACACCATCAGCTGCAACTGGTGACTGTGCCTTTACGAGAATGTCGATCTTTCCCAGAGCAGATGGAATTATGGGGAAATAAACGGACGATCCTTTCCCAGCTTGGACCTAAAATATAATAAGACTTAATGATTGGGATTACGAACAAACGCCCATTTACAAGGTATCACCTCCAATCTTGCACATCGTGGAGAATTAAACTACAACATAATACCGGAACGTGTTGTAAAAATGAAAGCTTAACCCTTAATCATTTTAATAGTAATGACGAACCACTGTATCCACTGCAATACATTTTTAATCATTCTGATCTTAGGGGGTTTCGAAAAAGTTGTCTTTTCATTTCATGATTTTCAAAAAAAACTAAGTAAGTCCCACAGGGGACATTGCATACATACAGTATAGCGTTAAACCTGTTCCTGTTAACACCGATTCTAAATATATATATCCATTTTTGATTAATATTCTTATTAAAAGTAAGCAAGAGGAAGAATTGTGTGTCCTGGTGGAACTTTATCAAATTTCAGTCTAGCAACTCAAATCATCAAAAAAATTAATTAATATGTTCTCACACCAAAAAGGGACTAAATTTTAAAACCTTCGTGACTGGCATTTGCATTACCAAGTCACATTCTCCGATTAACCTAGTTATTTTTTACTTATGTAAAAAAGCTGCTAAATGTCCCCAAATGTGTAAAATGATTTTTTTAAATAACTCAATACATAACTGAAGACTATTTTCACAGTGTCGCCTGGTTTTTAAATACTGAAAAATAAATTCTTTAAGACATTAGGCGCAGGTAATTATTTTTGTTGTTTGATGTTTTTGTAGTATTTGAGCCATTAATAAAATCTTCAATTCAGTAACATCCATTATAAGCAAGATGAAATTATAATGACAGCCAAATATTTTACAAGAAACACAGCAAAACCGAATCCTCATAAAAAAATTGCAAAACCTTCGGCATTGTGAAAGAATATACTTCACTACGAGAACTTCATTTTTCCACCCCCCAACCCCCCCCCCCACCCCCGGGCGTGGGGTTCACCGGGTCCCAAAATTATGTTATTTTAGAGGGTGAACAGTGCCATTGGGTAACGGTTTAGAACTATAATTCAGCTAGTCACAATTCTAATTAGTGTGATTTTTTTTCAGAAATCGAGGGGGGGGGGGGTCAGGACCCCCCTGACACCCGCTAAATCTGCCAATGACATGGACCTATTTATCGAAAATCTGTGATAATGTAACAGACTGTAGTACATTGTATCAGCCCTGTTACAAATATGAATGTTGGTAAAAGCAGTTCTTATTCCTGGCGTAAACATGTGTAGATGGCTACTATTCACTTACCATGACTGTCTCCGTCTGTGTCTCAGACACTGTTGTAGCTTTACCCATTTTGTCCAGCACAATATTCTTGAATTCGTTAGACTTTTCCAGTGTCACAAGAACCTGAAAAAGTAGAAAAATCCACTGCAAATGATATTTATCTACATACATGTATTCTAGTGTATGATAAATTCAAATTCTTATTTTTTCTTCTCTTTTTCATTGTTTCTTACTCTTAAATATCTTTGTCAACTTGGTACATTTGTTTTAAAAAATCTCACACCGAATGCGAATACACATACACATAGACATACAAATGGACATAAACATCGTTGTTTTGCCGCGGATTCGCATGATATTTATCAACTGAATATAGTCTGGGAGTTCATTTCATTTTCGCAACTTACGTTCATGTCTTGGTCCATGTAGTTAAATACCACCGCTTGCAAGATGAGCTCTTCTCCACGTACTACTGAATATGGCAAGTTCAGAGAAACAAAGAACGGGCGGAATGCCTCTAACTGCAAAAGGTCATAATGAGGCTTTGGAAAACCATCTTCGCAAAATAATAATATGATGACTTTAATTCAGACAATGGCATATTGGTCGTGTTATAGGAAAATCCATACAATGCATCTGCAGTAGATAAAACTACAATCCAATACCAGCCCTACAACACGACATAACAAAAACAAGCGCTTTTGTAAAATAAACACGTTACATAGCACTTAAATCTGCATATTACTAAAAACGCCTTAAAATGTAAGCTGAGAAAATTCGGCTTTATTCTATAAAAAAAACGTTGCAGTCATACCTTTGCCGTATCTGCAGCTACTCCAAGCCCAGACGTTGAGTGGACAGCAAACGCACTGGCCACCCAAGACGTAATAGTGTCCGGCACGATGGTACTGAGGGCGGCCGTACCGGTTGTACTAGAGGGTATTAAGATAATATTGTTAATGTCTAAGATAGAGGCGTCCAACCGATTTGGAAAACATAAAAAAGGCACCAGAAATATTCTCGTGAGAAACACAAGTGAAAATGACTTCGAGAGAGGCTAAAACGAAATAAAATGCAATTTGGCAATTGACCAAGTGTAAAGATAATGTAAATTATGCTATCGGAATGGAATATACATGTAATATAATTAACAAGTGCAGAGAAACCTTAAAATTAAAGGATTGAATGCCATCCACGTACATGTACATTTATCGATAGACAATTAAGAATACATGTATGCATTCAAAGCATACGTACATATAGTAGCAACAAAACCTAAAAGCATAAAAGCGTGATATAAAAGCAGATCGAGACACCACATTGAGATGAAGCGGGAGAAAAAAAGCCTCTCTGCTAAAAGCAAAGTCGGAGAAAAGAAACCAACGTGACATAAGGCGTACACACTGTTCTATAACTGTTCCTGTTACATACAACCCTTTTGCTTCATTGAAATTGTCCTCCAGTTTATAACTGACGTCTTGAGCATTATGGAACTGTTTCTTGTCGATCATGTCGTCCAATTATTCATAGCAGACTTGTGTATTAAGCAATATCAGTCATTCTCGCCATGGTAAAAGCGTTTTCTAGGGACCCCCAAAGTAAGGCGCTGATTCTAGGGAATGAGCCAATACTATATTCACAGGTAATAAAGACGATGGATAAAAACCTTCTCTCGATGTAGGCATATGTCGTTAATGCCGATAAAGAGAAGCTGTGCACTAAAAAAGTCACTTTTCAAACAGTTTTGCCTACCGCGTTGTAGTATTTGCCCACAACCACGTTTCTGGAAAGAACTTTCTTATTGTTTTCACTTCGGTTAACTTTCCGCCTGCAGAAGTCGATGATGATGATGCACGCGTTGGAACGACACCACCAATTGAAGGCATGGGGCGGACTCTTGAAGTAAGCCACATTGGCGTTGGCATTGGCATTGTCCCTGGCATTGGGGTGGGCCAGTCTTCAAAGTTTAAATACAAAGACCATAACAGTATTATTCCAATGAATATCTTATTTGAAACCACATTAATAAGCCAAATACAATACTTTCTGTTTCACAAAATTTACTACATGTAGATGGTTGGATTTTTATAACAATAGAGACGTCAGGTGCATTTGGATTCAATTAATTGTGTCTGGACACAACAAAGCATCTCAATATATATCCCAAACGAACACCATAAAAAGAGGAGACGATATAGAGCCTTTGCCCTGAGTGTCAGAGTCACTGTGAATCGGGCTTCAACAGTGAGCTCTGAAGAACAGCGACAGTGTACGATTACCGTCAATCAAAAAGAACTTCTCCGCAGTGAATCTGCAGTTGAATGTCATTAGAGCCATATGAAACGTAAAACAGATTTAATTCTGCTTTATTTTATTTTATTTACTGTTTTTAAGATGTAAAGTGAAAAATAAATAATGTTTCTAAAAGAAAAAGACATATCCAATGTTTTTTTTTTTTTTTTGTATTATTTGCTTATCAAAAAACATTTGCTCCTGCAATACACGTGCTTGCCGTGTGCCAAGTTTGACAGCTACACTGTATGCCCGATACCACTATACATAAGGGCTGCGCAATGGCAAGACCAAAATCAGCCTTCGACTGCAAGATTTTCTTCGTCTAAAACTCAAACTCCACGTCAGCCACTTTACTTCTTGTCTCGTCTGCACGAGATAACGTCAGCGAAAGGCGGGAAAGGCAGCTCCAGGCGGCACAGAGCTGTGACGTACGAGACATGACTTCCAAATATGGGAGCTCCAGGGGGACACAGCTGTGACGTACTAAACTTGTGACTTCCAAATATGGAAGCGCCCCAGGCAAAATTTTGAAGAAGGACGCCCTCGTTGTCGGTGTTCGCTAGAGCCTGGTATTGCTGATATGGGTTAAATCAAGATCGAGCTGGCAATACCGGAATCTAGAACCTAGGGTAGGAGCCTTGAAGGAGCAGTTGTTCGTATTTGCGCAATGGAGTTGCCTTTAGGTTAGTAACGCGACCGACTTCCGTTTCCCAAAACTCCAGAAGGTAAGGCTGCCTGCTAACCACAAAATATGGAACCATAATGGGATTTATCCAAATGACTTTGAAGTAAAACTAGTACTCAACTTCCACGGACCCTGAATGAAATGTTAGTCTGTCACGGGTCCCCTCATGAAGCGTTGAACTGGTGCCTTTTTACAGATAGGTATTATATTAAAGATAGTTGAAAGCAAACGGCTGAGTATAAGTTCATTTGCACCATTTTGCCGCCAAAATAAAATTGTTAGTTTGGTAACGTCAGTATGGCATTCACAGAGAGGTGAAGATCCACTGGCATACGAACGTGTGTTATAAAGGAAGGTTACTCTCTTATCTCGCCCACCCAATAGATATATTGGACCAAAGCCACGTTTCAGGGAAAAACGAACGGATCGCCCCAAGATCCGTCAAACCCCCATCACTTTTCTCGACTGCACCATCATCAGAATCTCCCGCATCAGAATCACCATCAGTCTCCGACGAAAAATCCACCACAGGGCTTATTGTAAAGGCCACTCTTCCCCCTAGACATCAAAACAAGCTTTTTCTTATTATTGCTTGAATTGTTACGTAGTCTTATACGGAAAGTTGGACCATCAACCTACCCCCTTCAAAATACTTAATAATGGATTTAGCTCCTGGGTCTTGCCGAAAGACAGAAATACTGAGCATGAGTCTCAGCTGAAGCCCAAGATGATCCCAAAATTAAGCATATTTCTGAAGACGATATCCACACCATTTAATTCTAACCGTAATTTATGGCAGTGACGTACGTGTGACGTAACGTTTCTTTTCTTGTAGAATATATTATAAATAAAAGACTAATTAAATTAGCTAAACACAAAACGTTAGCTTCGAAACTGCAAGTGTTTACCCCAATGTTAATCGGTATCATGAATCATAAAGAAATAGCTTCAAAGTAAGAGGTCTTGGTGCACGTGTTATTTGGTTTTTTCTTAGGACATGCGCCGTCAAAAACATTTTTCAGAACGACATTGCCACATGCAACATTACATAGACTGACATAGAAAAGAAACCATGCATTTCATGACCAAGGACAAATGACATAAAAAAGAAACCATGCACTTCATAACCAAGGACAAATGAAGGTCGGAGTAACTGAAAACAACAGATCAAGAATCTCTGACCACATGCTTCATGAAAAAACAAAGGCATGCTTGTACACAGTAGGCTAGAAGTCTTCTCCAAAGTATTGGGTATCCTTAATGTCATGCATACTAATATATACAGGTGCAAGTTCTTCCATTTTCCCACCCTGTTGTCGCGTTGCTCCACAACCATGTCTCCGGGAAGATCCTTCTGATGCGAGGTTCTGGATTAGCTCCTTCGTTTTTAGGCCTGGTGGTTGCAACATCTGGCTTGGCGACTGAATTTACTTTTAGTCGGATTGATGGACGCGCCATTCTCACGCGGAAGCGAAATCGTCGTCCCCAGCCTCCTGGTCGTGGCCTGTACCTCCTCACTTCATAAATGTATAAATAACCAATATATGGTTTTGTTAGACAATATGCATGGTGACAGAGCATGCGTCTACCAAGGTGCCAAATAATGACAAACATTGGACAATGTTTGTTTAAGTTGTCCACCATGTGTAAGCTATCATTAACGGTATGATACGTCCCGAAGACCCCCTGAAATTGATCACTGGTTAATTATACATGTATGTCGACTACAATATACCCAACATCTTTTGTACATCTGTGCATGAACGAAAGTGTAGACCGCAGTACTGTTAGTTCCATAAATACATATATAAATTACATGTACCTGGTTTTGTGTCCACTACTTCACTACATGTCTATTTAAATGAGCATAAATATGAACGTGGTAACATCGAGATTACAGACCAGTAAAACCCTCACACGTACTATCAAGTTAGTTTATGGGGAGTGTTAGCGAGGTTAATGATATGCTACCTGGGTATGAACACTGTGATATATATAAGGATAGATAGATAGCATGCACCATTGCATTGCACCATATAATTTGAAAATTAAAAATATATGATAATTAGGGGTGAATGGGACATGTTTGTTCCTTGTCCTACCCAACTGTCACATTGTTCCACAGCCATGATTCTGGGAATACTTTTCGTATTTTTTCTACTTCTGCCAAGTCTTTTGGGTTCTCCTTCGGTGTGCTTGGCGTCATTGGCGGCCTTGGGCCGGCAGGACCAGCAGGGCCCGCAGGACCCCTTCCTCTTCCATCAGACCCGTTAGAGGGACCTCTTGGTCTGTACCTGGGGTACGGAGGTCTATACGGATAACGCCCTGTTTACGAAATAATCAATGTAGGCCAATTTTCCGTTAAAAGTTACAGTGAATTGAAATTGAAATAAATCCTGTCAGTGAAGTGCTGGATTTGAAAACAGTCTACAAGAACTCCATACATTCTGAAAGGCATATATCCAGCGCTTTCATCGATATAATATGCCCGAAGCCATGTATGCATATTAAACCGTTACATAAACCACGCACTAGGCTGCCCCAGTTGTTTGGCGGTGGTTTGAAACAGGTCTATCCCTTACAACTACATTACATAATCTCAAAGAAACTTACTGACAAAGTACCTGTACAACTCATGATGAAAAAAATAAAATATATACATCAAAAACAGCACATTATCATACATACCAGTATATTGTTATGTAAACGCCAAAGCAACATTTTCAAGGGTGATTTGGGTATGCTTTTAGAGCATTCTTCACCACACGATATTGTAGGTTTGGCGGGTCTGTTTTCTCACATAAATGATAAACAAACACGTAAACAAAACAAACTGCGTTGCGATTAATGCCAGGAAACCTTTTTTCTTTCTTTCTTTCTTTCTTTCTTTCTTTCTATTTATATACTGCAAGGAGAATTGGAATCAAAGACATGTTCATTCCAACCACAGCCAATTGTTTCTGGAAATCTGGTACTGGCAAAACTGACATTTTGTAGCGGATCTTGGCCTATTGACCACAGAGGACTAGGTTGGAAAATGCGCTCGTGGCTCCCTAACATGCATCATTTGCCTCATGCACTTGCGGGTGTAAAGGACCTACTCCATTTAGTTTTGGCACATACTTGGAATATGCCCTACTCACATACGCCAAAAAGGAATCAAGACCTTTGCTCCGCAATGTAAACATATACTAACGACCCCTTACTACAGACCATAGAGGGTTGAAAATCGCACTTGACGCTCTCTAATATGTATCGCTTACCTTATGCTCTAGCTGGTTATGTAACTACTCCATTTAGTTTTGGTGAATGCTTGGAATTTGCCCTACTCACATACGCCAAAAAGAAATCAACACCATTACTCTACGCTGTAAGCATATGCTAACTATCCCTATCAGTTTATACATGTATTACCCTAGACTCGTATTCTGCCACAGCCAAGTCTCCGGGAAAACATTACGTATTCTGTCCACTTCCTGAAGTGTCTGTTGACCGGATGTTCCAGTGGATGAACCACTTGGACGACCTATGGTTTCTTTTGCTATAGCCGGCACTGGGAGCCCGCCACCACCGAGCATATCTACCATAGGTCTTACTTCAGGGTCTGGAGATGAAGTCACGCATTGATAATTGTAAATATAATATTGAAAATATAGCGAAACACAATATCTATTCAGAAGAAGGTGAATTCAGAACTATTTCCACGCTTTTGTGGTCCCTTTTTAAAGGCACTAATTTTCAATTTCTTCGTTTAATGCGGTCTGGATACGTGGTATGGTTTTTGGGTTCCCTACGATACCGCCATCGTTCTCTTCGCAATAGCGGCAAGATGAACTGACGCGTAAAACGAGCACGTTACCAAATCATAATGTAAATCAAGGGGCGTCTCTAGGATCCTCTCACAATAGAAACTGTACACATATACATTCAGTTACTCTAACTATACTAGATCGAATGGTTCAAATGCTAGAGTACTCGACTCCAGTGCAGAGGGTTGTGGGTCCATTCCCCGGCCGGGTCATACCAAAGCCCATCATAAAATGGTGCCTGCTGTCTCTTTGCTAAGCACTTAGCACATAAAGGTTTAAGTAGGGAACAAACGCAGTATGCTGAACAACTGGTAAGAGACGGTCATGTGGAAGACAAGCCTGCGCTTGACATGTTTACCCTTCAAGTTGAAAAATATAATAATGGTCAATACAAAACAATACATCAAATAGGTAGTGCGCTCCTAACACCAGGGCCTATCGTTTTTATAGTCAACTATAGTTCCATTACATACGAAACTTGCACAAAAAATCAGGGGGTCATGTGTCGATGGTAACAATATAAAACCCATTCATTCGGATTGTCTTTATGTATACAGTCCTATCTATTGGTTTAGGTGAAGAAGACATGGGATTTATTTTATGTTTAGGTAAGGAAGACATGGGGTTTATCTTTAAGAAGTAAAGAGATGTCTTTAAGCATATTTTCCATCTTTTCGTTAGTCATATAAAAACCTCCCTTTAAAACAGGTTGTGTGTCTTTCTCTTACATTTACATATAGCATAAAGCCTTCCAATCGGGTTAGCATAATCGATCTAAAATGGGGTCATGTTGCTTAAGTAAGATTTTGTGCATATATGCTGTCTTATAACTATCGGGTGCTTCATCTTATAGTACTAAAGTAACTTTGAAAAAGAAATATTATGGTCTAGCTATATTTCCGTTGTAGCCTTCCAGACAGTGAAAGGTGACCTTCCAGATTGGTGTCACGACGTGTCGAAAACATTTTGTGTCATTCGATTTAAATTAATATTTTTCCATTTGTCCCACTGCTTCTATGAACTACTACTACATACCACCTATCACATCCACCAACACAAAATCAAACATTTATAATCAGCGAATTTGTAATCTGAAACCCGACAACTATCTAGCATTTTCGCGTAGAAGGTGAATTATTCATTAATTATTTGTAGACCTAATCATCGGTTTCTTGCTTTAGCCAATCCCCCAAAAACACGCTCTCTAAAAAACGCCACATCATCACAAAACCAATAACATCTCCACGCACTGCCCCTTTTCTGATGACTTGATTTACCCAACGCTTGCATTCTGCCACAGCCACGTTTCTGGGAAAACGTTACGAATTTTCTCTACTTCTTGAAGTGGCTGTTTCCCAGGCACGGGAGCGGAGGTGACAGCGGGAACCGGCAAGGGCCCACCCGCGCCCGCCGCTCCGTTGATTGCCACAGCCGGCATAATACCCCCTGCCCAGCCGCCGCCGCCGCCGAATCCAGGCAATGGTGGATCTGTAGTGAGAAGCAGCGCACTATTTATCCGCAGCAAACTCGTCGCTCATTATAAATCAGGTGGATAACAAAACATCTCTAATTTTAGATTGGCGCTCAATCAAGTTTGATCAAATTGGCTGGTTTTCTGTTGCATATGTATTGCAGACAGGCCCTGTTCTTACAACATACATTACTTATGTTTGAACACTCTTGGACGTTACCCT